CAGCAGTGCGTCTCTGACCGCCTCTCCCCCCGCAGCCGTTTTGCTTCTGCGGGGACTTAAAACTGCCCCGACTGGGCTGAGATCAGCTCCCTGGCCGAAATCTTTTAAGTGCCGTCCTCACCTCCTCTGTCCCCCTGCCCGCCGCCCACCCTCCTCCCGCGCAGTCCCCGCTGATGCTGAAGTTGATCTGCGCCCAGGTTCTGCGAACCAATCTCTGGCACACCTCTCTGCAATCCCAGCCCTGCAGTTGCTATCCCAACCCTACAGTGATTTCAGCTCCAGCTCCACGTTTTCCCACCACCAAGTGAAGTTGCTCCTTGATCAGAGCAGGATGTTTACTTCGGGTCCAGCTCTAGACACTATATTCCAGCTTCAGCCCCAGAGTAGCTATCCCAGCGTATGGGGATAGGGCTGAAGGTGGAATCACTGAGGGGCTGGCATAGTGGTTCTCCAGGTGTAGTGGTGAGGAGTCAGCACTTGGGACTCACTGTGTCCTCTTTTCTTGGCAGCAGCCATCGGAGAAGACAGAAGAGGCATCGTGTAGGACAGTGAGGCCAGAGTGAGTGAACAGAGGAGTGGCCTCAGGCTGGAGAGGGGCAAGAGAAAGGCAACGTGGGCAAAGGGACCTCCCCGTTTTCACCAGGTAACCTGCAGGGTTGTAATATACTTAAGATGCATTTGCTGTGCATCCATATGGATAGGCTGCATCATCACGGCTAGGCTTCGCGAATGAAGATTAAGGAAGGCTCTGTCCACATTTATTACAGGCATGCTGGTGGCTAATGAGGCCAATACGAGATAGACATAACCGATTGCAGGATAGGCTGCAAGCACGAGGGAAAAGTCTCACCTTAGAATGGTGACATGAAATCTTCTTCTATTAACCATCATGCATTTCTTAGTACATAAAATCTATTTAATGAAAACCAAAACATCAAACAGTGGATCGATCAAGTTGTGCCCTGGCTGCAGCAGATGCCTGACTGCACTCAGCAAACAGAAGGTGCCTCTGGGGACCAGTGAGTACTCTGGATGCTAATGCTGTCAGAGCTCAAAATCTAAGCTCTCAACAGAGAGATATGAATAATTTCTGGTTCCTTCAGCTTCAGGAAGCCACAGTGGCAGATGGCCAAATGTGCAGTCAGTTGGCTGCAAGACCTTTAACTCATCGGACCAAAAGTTACTGCAGAAAGAAAAATAAAAATCTATCAGAGGAAGTTGTTCACGGATAAAAGTCTTCATGCATGGTTCCGTGCAAGTTTCTTTATGCCGTTCCTTCAGTTTTAACTCCATTACAACTGATTCCAAACCTTCTGTTTCTGAAGGTCTCATTCATTCAGGTTGCTTCTCCTCTGGCATTTCATCCACATGTCCTGCATAAAGTTTCTGAAGGCTGGTTCTTCATGACTCTCCTCAGTCACTGAGGGAAGAAATGACAGTTCAGTGCTATTTCAGTACTTGTTCTACTTGCGTTACTGAAAAAAAGCTAGGTTCAGGACAGCCAAAGCAACATAGAAAGTCTATTCCATCTTCAACTACATTACAGGGCAAAGGAAATAAGTGATCCTACCCATCAGTGGAACAGGGAAAGAATGAAGATTGAGTCTGTGAGCTATGTAAGAGAAAAATCACACTGTAACAACTTAGAAGATTGCTCCAAGACCATAGTCACAGGAAAAGGGAAGAGAGCCAGGGGCAGAAACTGTAAGGCCAAAAAGATGATGGACACATCTGTGCATCAATCAGGTTCAGAGGTCACTGCATTCTCTGGTTTATGTGTGTTATACACCTATTAATTACTTGAATAGAAAATTTAAAATTCAACTTTCACAAAGGTTACAGAGTGATATCCCTAGAGTGACCATTGCAGCTGAGCTTCTGCTACAGATTCTGACACGTCAGGTGACTGAATGTTTGCTTGTTTTCTAAGCTCTCCTTACAGTCCATCCAGATCATGAAATACAGAGGGGATTTCTTGACTAGACAGGCAGCTTTTAGACCTCATTCCCTTACCTTCATGGTCAATGTCATCAGTGTCACCCTCCCTCTCTTCTTGCTCTTCATCAAGAGTTCCTCACTGTTAGTATTAGCTCAGAGGGACCCATTGCAGAAGCATCAGGTCCTTGAAGGGAACAGAAACGGCTGTAGACAAACCAGTTTGCTAAAGGTAAGGTTTCTATCTACACAAAAACACAGCAATGAACACCTGCTCTAAGGGGACAGAAAGCTGCTTGAGGATCCCAGACACAGGACAGACTCCTTCAGCACCTACTTGGCTCATATAAGGAACAGTGCAGCCAACAGCAGAACTTTCTCATATTCTAATCTGACCGTTTCACCTTTTTAAAGTATTTCATTATTTCTAGTAGGTTCACTGCTTTAGCTACACAGTGGGGTTTCTTCCAAACCTGTGACTGACACAAGAAGAGCTAAGTGTGACCAATCCCACAGGAACTAAAGCCCCACTGCTCTAACATGGAGCTGCTTTCACACTTCTTGTGAGGACAAAGAAGCACTGTATTACTTCACAAGGCAAACTCTTCAGAAAACTTCTGCAGTAAACTTTATCTTCCTGGGGAGGTACCTGCTGCCCTGCACACACACACTGCCCATGTCCTTCCACAAGTGTTCCAGCTGCTCTCTCTTTTGTTTATTTTCAGCTTCCTCCTGTAGATAAAGATTTACATGTGGATTCTGAGAACATTTAAAACATCAGGAGAAACCTCACTCAAACCCAGCAGTCTGTCCCCCAGTCAGAGAGCAGAAGTCACTCTCTGCAGGTCTTACATTTCAACTAAGGTTACACAGAACTTCTGACTAAGCATGGAAAGCAACCTCCAGTATGGTGGGATTCTAGGACGTTTTCAGCAGCACCGGGAAGCCAAACTCTGTGTAGCTGTGCCTGCAGAGAACTGTCGTTTGGACAGCCAGAACTCAAGGTGAGCAGAGCTACTGATTTTGCACTGCAATTCAGTCTTTCTTACTGACTAAGTCAAACTAGTACTCTTCACTTTCCCCTTTACATCTCTCACACTTTTCCCCTCACATTTTCTAGACTTTTTCTCCCCTCACTTTACTCCTACTTTCCCTCTCATGTTCTTCACACTTTTCCCCTCACGTTTCTCAAGACTTTCCCCCTCTCAAGACTTTCCCCCTCTCGTTTTAGCACTTTCCCCTTCATGTTTCCTGCCCTTTTTCTCTCCTCAGGTTTTCTGTCCTTTTCCGTCTGATGTTACCCACCATTTCCCCTCATGTTTCTTTCACTTCCCCCCCCTTTTTTTCACTCATGTTTCCCACCTTTTCCCCCTCATGTTTCCCAAACTTTCCCCTTTGTGTTTCTCATAATTTCCCCCTCACATTTCTCATGCTTTTTTCTGCTTGTTTCCCACCCTTTTCCTGTCCCATTCCCTGGCCTTTTTCCCACGCATGTTCCCCACTTTCCCCTTCATGTTTCTCACACTTTCTCCCTCACACTTCCTGCTCTTTTCCTCATCACATTTCTTGCCTTTTTTTCCCTCGTGTTTCCCACCTTTTCCCCTCACATTTCCTGGCTTTTCTCTCCCCCCATGTTTCTTATGCTTTCCTCTCACGTTTCCTGCCCTTTTCTCCCCTCACATTTCCCTCACGTTTTTTCACTCATGTCTCCTGCCCTTTTCCTCTCACATTTCCTGCATTTTTAAATTAACTGACACATGAGGTTACAGACTGGCTTGTGGGTTTTGTGTGTACAGAGCAAAGCTGCAATACTGCATAATGAGCCTGTTGTCTGTTAATGGCCATCTACACAGAGGGACAGAGGGGATGACAGTGACCTCTCCGCCTGTCCTGCGCTGCTCCAGGCCAGAGCCATGCCTCGTCGTGGCCAGGGGCGCCCACGAGCAGGCCGCGCAGGGTGCCGCGGGTGGCCGGGCCTGGGAACGGGAGGGGCCGCCGAGCGCGCTGGGAAGGCCTGTACCGTCTCCCGGGGCCCGCAGTCCCGGCTGCCATCTTGTGCGTGGCGACAGCCCCAGCAATGCTGGTCCCATTGCAGTCTCAGGTGGCTGCAGGCGTGGATGCGCTTCCTGAAAGGTACGGGTGCTGTTTCCCGTCTCTGCAGGGGACCGTTCGCGGCCGAGGCCGCCCACCTCTGCTGCGAGCCGGGAGTTGACACCCACCCACCGTGGCGGCATCCGCTCGCTCTAGCCCTCCCTCCTGGCACGCCCCTCCCATCCCTACCCGTTCCGGTCCGGCAGCGTGAGGTGATTGGCCCCTCGGGCCCGGCAGCCGGAAGCGGGAGATTTGAACGGTAACGGGCTCCCGAGGCGACTGCGCTGCGGGGTCGCTGCTCCCAGCGGGGTCGCTGCTCCCAGCGGGGTTGAATTTGGGAGTCTCTTGCTGGCACCGCCCCGGGGACCGGGACTCGCTCGCGCCTGTCACCGGATAGCCCTTACGGAGTCCGCCTCGAACTTGCCCGTGAGAGCAGCCGCCCTCCCCGGGGCCGCAGCCGAGGCGCTTCCCGTGCCCGAAAGCGTGAGCGCGGGCTACGATCTCTCCTCTCAGGAGCTGAGAAGAGCTGCCTAGCCCCTGCGGGTCGCAGAATGGCCGGAGGTGACTATGCGGAAGTTCTCAAGTACTATGAATTACACGGAACAGTCGGCACAGGTGGGCTCAGTCTGGGAATGCAAACAGGTGTATGTGACGTGTTCGCCCGCCTGAGCGTTTATCTGAGCAGAGATTAACTGTTACTGCGGAGGCTGTGGATCATATTTCCAGGGTGTATTTTGCGAGACAGAAGTCTGGAAATGTAGCTGGAAGGTAGTGGAGTGATCACTTTTTCCCCTAACAAAGGTGCTGCATGCTGTGCATATAGGACGTGTTCCAGGGCGATTGAGGTCACAGGTGAGAAAGCTTGTTGCCATGCAGAGCTTTACACATCTCTGTTTCAAATTCTAGGTGGGTTTGCAAAGGTAAAACTTGCGCGGCATCGTCTCACTGGTGAAAAAGTTGCGATAAAAATCATGGACAAACTTGCTCTACAGGTAAGTCAAAAGATACTTCTAAGTCGGTAACGTTCTGTTTCTGTGGAGTTCTTGGGAGCACAGGTGCAACTGTCTCTGTGGGCTGGTGGTGGATGCTATGGGCTTGAAAGAATGTTAACAGAGCACCACAAAATTCTGTGCCCTCATATGGAGTGGGCAACATTCTCTGGCTGTAAAACTGAGGGAGTTATAGATTTAAATAATGAATGACAAAATAAATTACAGTAATTCAAACGCAGTGCTGATGAGAATAGTAGCAATTGTACATCTGTCACTTGGGGCTTTGCTGACTAGTGTGTGAGCAGTGACAGAGCTGGAGCTGCTTGAGTTTGAGCAGTTGGACTGTGCTGTGACATTTAATGTTGTGCAGTAGTCTACTTACTGTGATGTACAGGCTGTCAAACTAGTTGGCAATTTCATAGCTTGCTGTTGTGTTCTCTTAGGATGATTTGCCTCGTGTTAAATTAGAAATTGATGCCATGAAGGACTTGAGTCACCAGCACATTTGCAGGTTGTATCATGTGATTGAAACACCTCAGAAAATATTCATGGTTTTAGAGGTAAGAAACCGTGCTTCTGCTATGACAAAGGTCCCTGGGTTTAGCTATAGCAGCAGATGGTGACTAAGTCCAAATGAAACAATTCTTAGAAAGTCATCTCAATGGCAAGTGTGTCCAAGGTGCCATAGTTTAAAAATAAAGCTGGCAATATGTTCTGTCCTAACTAACTTTAATGCCCATCTCATGCTCCAAAAACTAGCACCAGTGGGATACACAGGACCCCAGAACTCCCACAGAGTTGTCACCTCCTGGGCAGTTTCTGTTGCCTGTGATGTTAAAGTGACATGTCTATAGCAACACGTTGGGCAACAGTTGGGCTCCTGGGCTTGTTGGGTTTGTTGCAGGCTGGCCTGGAACACACTTGGATGCTGCTGGGATAAAGCAGAGGGAAAGGAAGAGTGCTTTCGTTCGCGTTTAGATTTCATGACTGTATTCCAAATGTTTTCTTTCTCCTACCTTTGTGCAGTACTGTCCTGGAGGAGAGTTGTTTGATTACATAATTTCTAAGGACCGCCTTTCCGAGGAGGAAGCTCGTGTATTTTTTCGGCAGGTTGTTTCAGCAATTGCTTATGTGCACAGTCAAGGATACGCCCACAGGGATCTCAAACCAGTAAGTCTGAACAGTAGTCAGATTTGCACAAATAATAATGAAGACCCAGTTTTATTTCTCAATATGGAGCAGGTTTATCTAACATCTTCTCTAACATTTGCTGAAAGAGCATTATTTCTACTTGATGCTTTGTTCCTCAGCTGAGCTGGATGTGTCTGTATCTGAGGAAGGAACTTCCTCTGAAAGAGAAGCAGAACAGTGCACTCAGTTGAGACTGGAGCAGACACAGATCTGATTTGGTGCTTAGGCATTCCTTCTATCCTCTTTATTTCAGCTTGTACCCAGAGAGAGTTGTTATGCTTCCTCTCTGTTGTGCAAACCGTCATGCCCAAAGGAGAATGGTGACCCCCACAGCTTAAACTCAACAGGGCGCAGGGGGAGGGACATGCCACAGGACCTGTGGCTTTGCTGTCACTGCAGGGTTTAAGTGTGGGTTTAGCAAATGGAAGCCTTGAGACCATTTCTCTTTGAAGGGGTTAGAAGTCTGCATGTTTAGAGACGCTGGCAACCCTGAGAAAAGCAAATTCTTACTGTACAAGCATTTTACTAGGCAGCTCATAAAATCATTGTCTCCAAAGAACTTCTCTCCAAGGAAAACCTTCATTGCATCTCTTGGAAGGAGTTGTCTCATAGCTGGAGTGCTGACAGATTTATAGGATCATGTCATACTTTGGGTGGGAAGTGACTTCTAGTGGCTTCTGTTTGAATCTGTTGCTCAAAACAGCATCAGACTGAGCTTCTTGAGGCTTTATCCAGTCACATCTTGGACCTCTCCCAAGGATGAGGCACAGTGTCTCTGCTTTCTTCCTTACGAAGAGAAAGGGTTTTCTTTAGTTCCAGTCATCATCCCACCACATGCTGCTGTGGAGGGGCTGACTGTCTTCAGGCCCCCCCTTGAAGGAATTAAAAGGCTGCTATGAGGCCTCCACTGACGCTTTCTCACCTGCAGAGTGTCTCTCCCTCAGGCTCTCCTCACTGAAAAAGCGCTCCAGCATCCTTGGCAGGCTTGTGCCTAACCATGGAGCTTACCTTCGTTTGATGTCTTTCCTGTGCTGGGGGGGTGGGCAGAAACTCGATGGGCTGTTCTTGCTGTGCTGAACAGAGGGTGAGTCAGTTCCCCTACTCTGCCAGCTCTGCTCCTTTTCATACCACCTGGGATATTGCTGGCTCCCTTTTCTGCCAGGGCAGGCTTCTGCCTCACACTCAACTTCCTGTCTAGCAAACTTCCAGGCCCTTCTCAGCAGGTAGGAGCTCATATTGCCTGTCCAGAATACAGGACATAATCATTAACAACTGGTCAAAATCTCCAGAGGAGAGCTCTAGGTAAATTCTAGCTGCTAATGGCAAGAAGAAATAATGTGAAAGGAAATGTTGTTTCTGGAATGACTTGGGTTACAGAAGAATTCATTACTGCTTTCTCTTTTACTAGGAAAATTTGCTGATTGATGAGGAACATAACCTGAAGCTGATAGACTTTGGACTTTGTGCAAAGCCAAAGGTAAGAGTGTCAGTTGCTCTCACAGAGCAGAGCTAAATCAGCTACAGTGCACACATAAGAATTGCAGATGTAACTTCAACGTGCAGTGCAGAGCCTTGCATTGAATTCAAGCTGTTTGTCTAGTTGTTGTCCCATTGCTGATTTCTTGGTGGAGCCTTAACAGTATGAGAAAGCAGTAACCTGCATGTTCTAAGCAGAATTTCAGATCACTTTCTCATCTTATACTTCATCTTTTATCCCAATCTAAGGCAGAGATCACCTTGTGTGTGTGGAATACCTGCTTGTACTGTAAGAGTTATGTTGGTGTGCATTTTTCCCCAATAAATTTCGGTGGTGTGTGTCTTTTTTCATAAGATTTGTTTATGTGTGGAGGTTGTGGATCAAATCAAATAGATTCCCCTTACATTTACAAAGCCTCTGGATCCATATGCTTGTACAGAGTTGTTTTCCAAGTTTAGAGTTGATTTCTAGACTGCTGCTCTGTCAGCTTCACCTGCAAGGTAGGTGCTTGTAAGAAACAATTTAATGAGAAGAAAGTCTTGCCTGACCCAAAGTCCTCGGATTGTTTTAGCTGACTCAAGTTAGAGCACCTTGCAACCACTGTCTTGATGGTACAATGTCATCTTACTCTGATCTGCTTAGAACAAAGCCCAGGCAAAGTATTTACATGGTTTTAATAAGGGAGCATTTTTTTGTGGTTCTTTATGAAGTTATTGCTTTAAATATTGGTATAAATATCCAACCAGCCTCATGCCCAGTAGCTCTTGGATCACTGCTTCCCAAGTTCCATCTCTTCTCTTTGTGGTCATGAAAAGAAGTATTCCTATCGGAGGAGGAGCTGCAGAAAAGACTAGTGGGATAACACGTGAATGAGCAGCTTGGGATCTGAATGTCTGCAGGACACTCATGGCCGTGGACAGTTTTTGCCTCGTGAACCCATATATTATGCCAAAGCAAAATATAAGGTGGATGTAGATAGACAACAGAGGAAAATGAAGCCTCTGAGGCCTCTTATGTTGTTGCTAGAAAACACCATCTGTGTTAGAGCCAGTGCTTCTGTGTCATTGATTTCTTGTCTTGTTCTAGGGTGGCCTTGACTACCATCTGAACACATGCTGTGGAAGCCCAGCTTATGCAGCACCAGAGCTGATTCAGGGCAAAGCATACATTGGCTCAGAGGTATGTAGCACAACTGTGAATTAGGGTGGTTTTTTTCCTGCCTCCTTTGTATTTAAAGGTGGTGAGGTTGAGATACATTCCCTTGATGTCTCTCTTCAATGCCACTGGATAATGTTGCCTCAGTGGCTCTCAGAAGCTGTATGACTGACAGCAGTCACAGCCTGGAATAGCATATCATGCTCTTAGCCAGCTGGCTTGTTCATGTCTGACTAATCCTTCACTGTCTCCAGGTGTTACTCTGTGTTTTAGTGCCCTGCAAAAAGTAACTTATACTTCTTCCGTCTACATTATTTCAAGCAGCAATTTGTTAATTATTCAACTCTTGTTGTGAAATTTTTATGCAGTCTCAGTGTCTTGTGTACTTTACCTTTAAATTTGTGTATGAAAACTTGCTCTTTGTACTGTGCAGTGTAGTAAAATTAGAGAGAAGAAAAACTGTGGCATTTATCCAGCTTTGATTCCATGTCTGGAACATTAGGGCCTGCTACTTGCCTCTGTAAATCCATCCAAAATGCTGTAATTGCAATTCACTCAAACTTAGCTGGCTCTACTGTTGGGTGGAGTCAGTCTTTTTTCCTTTACTGCCCTTTGCACCACTGTCCCTGTCCTCTAACTCTTGTTTTCTTTTTTTTGTTTTGTTTTCCATGAAGTCAGTGCTTCTCTAAACCTCCTTTTGCTTTATGATTGAAGTGTGAATTACAGTATGAGGCACATGGACTTTTTCATGACTATATAGAAAAAATAGAGGGGCTTTAAAGCTGATTATAACTGTGCTGATAGGTATTGTAATCGGTAATACATTTCAGTCAAAATCTCTTCCAATGAGTTTGATTTCATTTTTGCTTGAGACATCCTCGTAGGCTGAAGGTAATGCAGCAATTTGGTGACCTAAGGAGAGGATAATAGTTTTACCAGTGCTCCAGCTTGAGTGAATTGAAAACTGAATTCAGGTTGTGTGCTTTCACTTGGAATGTAAAGACTTAGGGAGCCTACTTTTAGTGAGTTGCATGTGCCAAAGAGAGACAGTGTTACCTGTGTCTGAGCCATTTTAGACAGATCAGGTTTGTGAACTCTCACTCTTTTATTTTTTAGGCAGATATTTGGAGTATGGGAGTACTGCTGTATGCTCTGCTGTGTGGTTTTCTCCCCTTTGATGATGACAATGTCATGGCTGTCTACAGGAAGATACTGGTAGGTATTGATGGTGCTAGAATACATGAGGAACAGGCATCTCTAAGCATTATGAGAGGCTTTTGCTTTCTGATGACAGAACCTGTTGAGCTGTGCTTTGGGCAAAAGGCTTATTTGTGGAATTTTGTTATGCTTTGTTACTTTTCTGATCAATATTTTGTTTTGGATTTGTTTCTGTTTTCCATCAGCCTTTGCAGGACTCTAGGCCAGTCCTGTGATACGGTAGAAAACTGAGCTTCAGTAGAAGCATTTTCTTGCTAGTGGCCCAGATTTTTGTGTCTGAGCCTTTATCTATCTTCTCCTTGTATTTTATGGTTTACCAAAAGTATTGTTCTTAAATGTCAGCTATTCTCATATCTAGGAAAAGCAGGATTCTGCATCTGCTCTTACACTTTCCTCCTCCTAAATGAGTTGAATAAATAGTAAGTTATATAATTAAGCCATTGGTTCTGTTTCCCTGTAAACTCCTCTTGATGTGGCTAAACAGATGCTATTTTTTATCACACATGCACCTCTGCCAGCCACTTTCTGAGCTGCCATAAAATCTATGTTGATAAAGCTTACACTAAGTGAGTGGGATGAGGAACAGCAGTGTTCAGTATGGGCTTTGGGTTCATCTATCTCGTTCTCCTTCTCTCGTCCAGAGTCTAGTATGTTTAAACCCCCCTAGAAAAACTCCTTGAGGTGTTCAAGGGCTACTTTGGCAGGAGGCAGCTGACACTGCTCTGCACAGGAAGTCTTTTTAGCGTGCTAACAGTCTGGTCTCCATGAAGCACCAGACTAGCTCATCAAAGAGTGTGGCTTTTTATTCTGGAATTGGAGCGGACTTAAATACCTGGATAGAAGATCCCTAGGAAGCTTGGTTTGAGTGGTTGCAGAGAACTCTAAAAAATAAGAAGGAAGCAATGGCTTCAAAGAGGTTGTGTAAAGGTGCTGATGTTTAGATGAGGTGCCATTAAAATTACATGACTTCCATACTCACATAGTCATAGAATATCTTGAGTTGGAAGGGAGCTATGAAGTCCAACTCCCTGCTTCTTGCAGGACTACCTAAAACTAAACCACATGAGTGTTGAGGAGTGTTGACCAAATAATGCTAGTGCTGAAGTGTGCTGAGACAAGCGATGAGGTTTTAAAGTTTAGTCTGGAAGTGGTCAAAACCCAATTGTGTCACAGGTGTTAAGATGCAGTCTTACTATTTCCACTCCAAATTTGTTTTAATTTCATGTGGCTATGAACTGGAAATTGCTTGAAATGAGAATACTTACCCACTGTTCTGGAATTTAATTTCACACATTACAAATCCTGAAATTTATTGTAATCTCAATTTGGACCAGTTGCTCCAAGTCAAATCTGCTGTTTGAATCTAATTAGAATCGTATGACTTACATACAATGTTTCTTTCCTCAGAATGTTCCACCTCTCTTCATTTGGGAATACTAGAATGAATGTCTTTTGAATGAAAAATCAAGTTGTGGTGTAAATTCTGTAAAAAAACCCTTATATCTGGTGTGATCTTATGTACCTGGTAGATATCGCAACCTATCCAGCATTGCCCATAGTCCAGTAGATGAGAATTGTTTGCTACATCATTTTCTGTAGCAATATATTAAAAGCAAAATGTAGATTACATACATTACTTAGTTTCAGAGTAAAACTGCATTGTGAAACACCCAACAAACTATTCACAAATAACCTTTTACTAAGGTCTGTAAAGAGGTAAGCTAAATTCTTTAACCGTGATGTCAAAGCAGTACATACTCTGCTTAGAAATGCAGGCTGCATATAATGCAAATGTTTTTTCATTGAGGAATTTATCTGTAGAAAGAAAACTGCCATGACAGAATGATAAATAGATTATTTGACAATGACTGTTTATTAATTTTATTTTTTTTGTCAATTTTCATTGCAAAGTAAATGATCCTTGATGGTGAATTTGGTTTGGTTTTTAGCCACTGTTGTACCTCACCTCTGAAAGCAGTTTTCAATTTTCTTCTAATTGAGAATTAAAGAAAACCAACAGTAAATCATCTGATTGAAAAAAACTTACCTCTTAGACCTGTAACCTTTCTCCTGTCTGCAGTATAAGATTGAGCATTAGATTTAACCTGTTCAAAAAAAGAATATCTTAATACTGAGGATGGTGTACTTTTAGTGTCTGAAAAGTATTGTTTTCAGTGAATCTTCACATTTCAGAGCGCTAATATCAGTCATTCATACTCCAGCATGTTTGCACTTCTAGAACTTCAGTATTGACTTGATACAATGGATAAAGGAGCAGGTTAGCTGCAAAAGTGGGCAGAGATGGAAGTTTCAAACAAGCTGAATGGGTCGAAACTACAGCTGGTGATTCAAACATGGTATTTTCCTTACTGATGCAGCTGGGTTTTAGTACTACCATGATGTTTATTCAAGTCATTCTTAAAGCTAACATGTTCCTGCTATTCTTTTTTTTCCGGGTGCAGATGTTACTATTGTCCAAGTACTTTAGTAGTTCCTTCTGAGATTCAAGGTTAGTTCTAAATCCTCTTCTTTTCTGCAGAGAGGAAAATACAGTATTCCGAAGTGGCTCTCTCCTAGTAGTACACTGCTCCTTGACCAAATGCTGCAGGTAAAGGTATTGTTTCTGTTGCATAGGTCTATAAAGTACTGTTACATAGGTCAAAACATTACATCACTGAAACATTTAAAAAGAATTCAGTGTTTGAAAAAGGAATTTAATTCTTATACACTTTTGAAGAAATTATTACCGTTGCCTTTGGCTCAAAAATATTTGAGAATGGAAATAATTAAACAAAGTTTAAATGATTTAACAGAGTCTTTGAACAGCTTGCTTTCAGTTGTTCTTAATGTACTATAAAAACAAGAGCTCTTTTGTAAATGAAGGTAAACTTACTAAATATGTATTTGGGCTACGCCTAGGGAATGTAGTCAGTGCTGTATATCCCTGGGACATCTATTGTAACTTGACAGTTTCTGTAACTGTCCTTCACAGCTCACATCTTTGAGTGTGAGCTTCCTTTTGATGAAGTTCTGAAACAGTATTGGTTTCCATTTTTACCCCTAGCCACCCATTCTGTGTAGAAGACAAATTATTTTTTCACTTCTCCACAGCTTATGTATCACTTTGATTTTTATTGCCCACCAGGTTGACCCAAAGAAGAGGATTACAGTCAAACACCTGTTAAGTCACCCTTGGCTTATGCAAGGCTACTCTGATGCTGTTGAGTGGCAAAGTAAATACCCAGTAAGTACTCTGGTCAGATGAATATTGAAGTGTTTAATGTAATCTTTACTGGCTTATTACCATCCTTACAGTATGGGGGTGTGAAGGCATTTCTTCAAAGATGAACTTTGAGATGGCCATGGTTCCTTTCTGATTCTTTAACTGTCAAAATATTATTATTTGCTCTTGATTTCTCTTGTGGAGAAATTTCAAATGTGTTTTCATCATATTCTGCAGCTGAATCTGCAAGATAACTGAATTCTCATCAAAATGTGAAGTATTTCTTCATATGAATGACCAATTCCTTCTCCAGGCTGCTTGATACTTTGTTTAAGGTGTAAAACGCAAATATTCTGGAGAGCATGCTAAGACATGATTATGGTCTATCTTGTATGTAGTCCTCACTGAAATAAAAAATTCAATCTCATTGAAAGAATATTTGTGCTGTCTCTCTGTCACTTGTTTTACTTGTGTGAGAGATGAAGGCAGAGGAAAAAAAACAGAATAATCTGGTTGTCAGCAGAAAGTGCTGAGAAGTTCCTGTATGTTGTCACCAGATGCCACTGTTTCTCTACATAAAGAAGAGCTTGACTGTGCTCGCAGTGTCAGTGCTACTAGCTGGCTCTGGAAAAGATATGCATGTCTAGTGGCTTTGGATATTTATGGACAGATGAAAGAACGGCCTCTTATCTAGTAAAAATCTCACCTCCTGTTGGGTGGCTTACTTGAATTCACAAGCTCTCAGCTGTGAGGGGCCAGGCTGTGAAGCTGTATGACTTTTACAGTCTACTCCCTACAATGTTTAGTTATGATGCTGAACATTTGAAAGATAAGGTCTAAAATCATCGTTGACTATTGATTCAGCCCACTGGGTTTCATGACAGTGTCACTGTGAGGTGTGGATTATGAGACAACTTGAAAACCTCATGTTTCAATATCCATCATGTTCTTACAGCTGGGACATCTTGATGAGGACTGCATAACAGAGCTTTCTGTGTTTCATGAGCAGAGCAGGGAGACTATAATGGAATTAATAACAGAGGTAAGGAGTATATATCAGTAACTTACAGTAATTAATGATGGTAATAGAGTAAAAAAATTTACTGTGTTATCAGATACTGTGTCATGTATTCTCAAGTATGACATTTTAAATACTTTGCAGATTTAAGGAGCCCCTGCAGAACTAGAATCTGCCTGTAGCTTGTAACTATAGTTCTGAAGTTCAAATTTGTTTATTTCTTTTTATCTTTTAATTGTGCTCATGATGTTTCCTAAATCTTACTGTTATTTCCCACTATGGTAAAATCCTTCTGAATCTCTGGAAGTTAAAGTAGATTTACAGAAATTTATAGTTGAACAACAGATGCCATTTGCTGGGTTAGCTCTTTGCTTTGAAATGGTTCAATAAGTAGCAGGTGAAGAAAAAAGGAGAAAAATATCAGAGCAACACCAAGGTAGACTACAAAATATGTATTTTTTTGGAGTCACTATTCAGTTTTTTAAAAGTAGTGAGTCACTTTTGACTACAACTGACAAAAGTTGAACTGACTACTTCTAGAAGAATTGTGCAAAGGTTAGCAATAACATTGCAAGCTGTAGAAGAGACTTAAAGCATGATGCATACTCCAGCTTTTACCTGAATCTGAAAATTCCTCCTTAAAATTGAATTTTTTGCTTCTTTGTAATTGTTAGCAGTGACAATAGTTGGGGGTTTTTTTCAACAGTTGGGTTTCCCATGTAACTGTAGCAGAAGCAGACTTTGAAACTGTGTGTTATACTTACGATAGGTTTGTGGAGTCGATGCTCCTTGTTTTTCAGTTACAGCAAATGATCAGAAAAGTCTGTCTACATGGGGAAAAGTCCTTCCAAATAGCTTTGTGATATTTGCATAGTCCTTTACTGAAGGACTTCTAATCCCTTATAACTAATTCAAACTAACTGTATATGCTGCAGACCTATCAAACATGGTGCTTGTGTTCCTCACACAAGCAGAGTTGCTGAAAATCCTGCAAAAAGTTGGTGCTGTTTGTAGGGGAAGAATGGGCAGGAGGGACTTCAAAAATATGGTTAAAATATTGGATAAACCCAATTACTAGGTTTGCCATTCACTTCAGTAGATATAGATCCTGATCCCAGCATTAGTTTCCATGCTAGCACATGAACTGCAAACTAACTTGCAAAGAACTTCCGTAGTGCCTGTTTCATGATCTCAGACACATAAAGTCTGAAATTACGCTGTGATCCAACATTAGGGTGGAAAAACTTGTGGAGACGCAGAAATTTTCAGAAGGCTGAGCTTGCCTCATATTTGCAAGGTTTCCAAAGAGGAGATTAAAATACTCTTTTTCTCTCTGTGTCTTGCCAGTGGAAATATGACCACATGTCAGCAACATACCTCTTGCTTCAATCCAAGAAGGCTCGCGGCAAGCGTGTGTGTTTAAGGTTTCCATGTCTAACACAACATGCCAGAACCATGCCATTGGCAGGCCTCAAGGTAAGCTTGAGTTCAGCAGGATAGCATCCTGGTTAAAATCCTGCTCTGCATTGACAAAGCTCTGCCTGAGGAAACATGCTGGTGCTCTAAATATCATTAAGAGAACATGTATGCAGTCAGCCAAAGTCTTGGTCATTAAACAGTTGAGTCTTATTAACACGACTTAGCAACTGGGATGCTTCTATGGATTGGCTTTATTGGAATAGCTCTGGCAGGGCACAATGTATCAAGTGCTGCACAGAATCCCTCCTTGGCTCATGTTAATGGGCCTTATCCTCTGTTGTCTGGCCTGTGTGATCATTCCAGATCTTGTTCTGTGATGACTAACTTCTTACTGCACTCCATGTTTCTCTCTATGTATTTTTGTACCTTGGGTTGCATTTCACATGGCTTAGTAAGGAAAATCTGAAATATCATGGCATGTCACCTGGGCAGCCTGCTTTGAGATGACATGGGCACTGTGTGAGCTGTTGATCAGAGAGCCAGTCCTTCCTCATCTGTTTCCTTTGGGAATGTAATCCTAGAGAGGACCCAGTTTATTTTGAGTAAAGGAATTGCTGCTTTTTTTCTGATGATTGGGATTTTCAAGCAGTTTTGTATATCTTAAGGGAGTTTCTATTCCTGTAGTTTGATAGCAAAGTGCACATAGGGCACTTCAGAAATTGGCCAAAGTTGCTAAATCGCTTGCGGTGTCATATATAATATGCAGCTATATGAGCTGTTGGTGATATTTGTCTGTTAGACAAACTGAGAAGCATTCAGTGGAATCTCAGACTTACCATTAGCCATTCCCCCTTGAGCTGAGGCACCTGTGTGAAACTGCTTGAACGTGCTGTTTTCTGTGTAGAGGCAAGCACTCAGGAGAAATACTTTCTTATGTATCTGATTCAGTTGCGTTTAAATCCTTTCAGTTAACCCATACAGCTTCTTTGAGATGAGAATTGTAGGCTTACTAGAGCTGCATAACAGATCGTGAACCATAAGTGTTTCTCAGGATGCATAATGTGACTTCATGATCATGGTAGGTTAGCCTTCTACACTGCAATGATTAAATGGAGGTTCTCTAGGTTTAGTTGCGCTGATACTGTGAAGTTACTGTATCGCTAGTGATGTCCTAGGTAAATTGGTCTGGCAAATGCTACTAACATATGCATTACGCCTTCCCAGGTGACGGTGGGGAATTGCTGCACAATACAGCAATCCATTAATCCTCCAGCACCACTCAGGACACATTTAACTTGCTTGTGTGTAGATGCTGTGGGTGAATATCAACTGAATTTGCTGAAACACCTACCTAGAAGAGCTCTCTAGCTGAACCTGGTCTAATGTGAAAACAACCAAACAAACAGAACCTTTAATTTAGGCATTTCTGAATCTGGTTGCACAAGCTTGTACGGAATACTTCTTTATTTCAAGCAGTTTAATGTTGAAGGATATTGCAAAAAATTCACCATGCCATGAATTTTATCTGGAACACAGTAGCCCAGGTATCCTAATCAGGCATTCATGTTGTAATGGAATGTGATTTCAACTGCAATATCAGGCTCCTAGATTCTTGGCTGTAGTTAGCAGCCCTCTGGTAAGGGCTTTTGAGTAAATCATCATGGTAGGTCTGGCAGCATACCAGGGAGCTCTGTCTCTATTCCAGTAGCAATGAGAGATCAGTTCACTGTGATATCCTTGATCATAGGCCAACAGAAACTTACCTGCCAGCAGACATAACTTCCTAAAATGGTATCCATTCCAGCCAAGGACTACCAAATGACCGTGTGCGGTTTCACTGAAATACTATGGAACAAGGCATCAGGAAGAGTTTCCCGAAAATAACAAAAGGTGTTGGAAACTAAGGATACCTTGACATGCATCTGATTGTATGTGGTGTGAGCCATGACGGTTAGAAATCTTCACTGAAGTTATCAATTCCTTGATTTAACAAATGACAACTTTTTTGGGGAGCTACCCATCAGATGAAAGGTTCCAAATGCTAGTTCCAAGTATGTGTTTACCTTTATCCAGCCCCCTTTCAAATTTTGCTCTATTCTTTTACTGTTAGGATTTTTGGTAAAAAGAGGTTGTAGTCCAAGCCTTGAGTTCAAAGGTGGGTATTTCTATGAGTTGCTTCTCTTCTTGACACAGGTAATGAAAGATGACTTGGCAATGATGCTTTGAGAATAGTTTCACATCTGCTTTTGATACAAATAACAAATCCACAATGAGGATATTAAAACTTAGGTCACCATCATGGGAACTTCCATTATTAGGAACTTAAAAAGATATTAGATTTAGATTTTAATGGTGCTTTTCTGATGAAATTCTACTTCTAAGCATGCAGTGGAATCTCAACTGAATCTTTCTTTTCAGTCTGAAAACATTGTGATGTGTGAAGACATGCCAGACTGCAGTGAAATGCCATGTGCGTTTGGATCCATGGAATTTTCAGATACAGCTTCACTGCTTAAAGAATCTCCTTTAGAAGAATTTATTCTAAATACTCATGGAACAAAACAGGTGTTTGATAAACTATTCTTAATCCAAAAACGATCTCATTGAACATAAAAATTATTGTGTATTTAAATGTTTAGTGGACCCTAGCCAAGACGAGGTACAAACTAAGTAATGAGATGTTTTAAATATATAGGCTGCACATATGTTGTGACTTCTTCTAGCTGTAGGTCATGATTGATTTTTTTATAACTTGACATTCAATTTGCATAAAATTAGCATCTAGAAAATGAGTAAATGAAGATTTTAAAACTGCCTAGAAAAAATAAAGTGGAGCGAACAAGGTCTCGGAGCTAGGCTAGAGCTGCAAAAGTCTCCGAAGAAGCGCAACCTGTCTGTATTGAACAACAAAATCCAGTGAAGCAATTAAAATTTTACAATTAAGCCAAATGAAAATTCTTAGCTGTGTTTCAATGAGTTGGTCACTAACAGTTTTAAATGGGCAAACAAAAGAGTTTAGAAGAGCAGATATAGTAGTGGCAAATTACTCAAGAACTTTATTAGCAAGTTATAGAAGGAATCAGAAGTATTGAAGAGTTTCTAACTATTTTGCTCTATAGGCAAGCATTGTACGGTATTTTTAACCTGCTTCAGAATTTCCTTTTCTGTAACATTCCTGAATATGATCAGAATACCGCAAAGGATGCCTCTTTTCTTTCTGTTACATCTTTTGTAGCATTCAAAGCCTGATGCTCAATTGGATGATACGGAATTCACACTGTCAACTCCAGTGACAAAAAAAGTGGCATCAAAGAAGCATAAAAACAAAGAGAATGTAGAGACAGAGCCAGCTTTAAGAAATGAAATGCCCTTTGCACTTCCTGCTCCAAAGACTCCTTTTGCGAAGAGTCAGATTGAGACACAGGAACAAGCCATACCCCCTCACACACCTGCCTTCAAAGGTACATGGAATGTAACTAATGACAGCTTAGAACATATATGTGGCTTGGGAATTATTGGAATTCAAATATGAGCACAATACTTGTGCATCCAACACATCTGTTTCTGGAAGACGTCTTTTGTCCTAGTCACCATCTTGATTTTTCTAGTACATCTGGTTGGTGCTGCAAGAGTTTTAACCATGCATCAGGGCATGTTACTTGTGTGCTAATAACAGGAGTTATTACTGCTCACAGTATCACATATGAGTGCCTTTTGACACATTCTAACATGGAGCTAAGTGCTGTGTTCCTAAAACTTGCACCTGGTTCTGCTTTTCCGTGAAGGTTGAGAACATGATTTCCTCAACACTCCAGTTTTCCTTTGTGATTACCTTAAGTGAAAATAAAGGTACACTTTTAGTCATCTGCTTTTATTGCTGCTTCTAAGAGAAGTCATCTAACTTTTGGATTTCTCATAGTTGCATATCAGCATTTTCACAGGAACAGTCCATTGTAGCAGTGAAAATACTTCTGTTAACAACATATAGGTCTTGCAGCTATGCAATAAACCTCAGAAATCTGTCTACATTATGTCAGCTTTTCTGAGTTATCACGTATTTCAATCCTCAGCCTATCTAGTCACGTACATGTTCTGTATGTACATTACTGTTTCCTTCAATGACTACCATAGAAGTTTTGGTGTTGATACTGTAAATGCTATCTCTGTCCTTCAAATGCCAAGTGCAATAGGAGAGTCGTCTGTTCCAGATGCTAAGGAATATTGTTCAGGAACAGTAAGTCCTTGCAGACTGATTCAAGGAATAAGGGTTCTTGGACCTATTGCTGTTTAATGTCATCCTTCGTAAAGGGTTTAAACAATTGCAATAAAAAGACTAGTTTTTCATGAGTTTATCTTAAGATTGTGTGCGATAATGTGAAGTCTGACATCACAGTAAGTTTAAAATGCAAAATAGGTACTCTCTGAAATGGGAAAGGCAGAAACACTGTTTTAGCTCACTTATTTAGATTTTTGATTATTAAACAATGAAAGCTAATTCTTCGATGCACTGAAAAATCTTTGATTCAGGAAAGGTATTAATACTTCCCTAGAAGTAGAAAAATGGAAGTATTCATTGGAAATTTTGAGGTTGTTTGTCTGGGATCAGGTGCAACTCTGTAGAAAGCTGAAACTTTGAACATTGAAGTTGGGTATAATTGCACCAACTCATTTGATGACTATTTCACTTAGTGTTTTCTCCTGCACATTCAAAACCATGCTCTGCAGACACTGACTTTTTAGGCTGCTATGTAACATCTACATCATGTATTAAACATGGCTATATAAACTTACACCCTTTGTATAAGGGAAATGAATCAGTGAAGAACACAACTATTTGATGCAGTGGATTGCTCAGTATTTATTGTGGGAGCAGTGGCAGAGCAAGAAAGCAATTCGGATCCTGAAATTCCTTATATTGAACTGCATTGCTGACTCTTTAGGTTTGACTTGTAGAGCCCTGGGGAAATCAGTTGCAGTTTTAATTTGTAGAGTAGAGGTAGTACTGTTGTTGTATGAAAAACATATTTTATCATTTTGAAAATACAGACCTGAGATAGAAAAGGGATCTGATTTTTGAAATAAATTATTAATAATGAGAAATTGTTGCTGAAGAAAAGAAAATCCTTTATGCAAAGACATACCTGTTTGGCTTGGATGCTTTCTTTCAGAGAGCCAGTTCACTGCAGTCACCCCAATTAAACCCACAAACCTGACAAACACAGATGAATTCACAGCAGCTGAGGTTCTTCCTGAAAGAAGGTAAGTGTCCAGTTATTTGTGTACACTCCCGATTTAGAGCAGGACTGCCTTAATCCATGTGCTGCCTAGGAAGTCTTGTTACAGCAGCAAGCAGTAATTTCTATTCTCTTGGTAAAAACCTCCCTTAAACCTCTTTCTACAACACTGATGGTACAGAAAAGTTTTAAAACTATGTAACTCAATTATCTTTAGGATATATTCCTATTTTCCATAATGTGAGTTCCTATCCCAGTTCTCCAGAGGACTGCAGTTTCTAGATACATCTCGGGATTTAAACCTTTCAAACTTTTGAACAGAAACTCCTACGATATCCTGCACTGGATTTGACTTTTTTTGTTATGGCATGTGTGGTAGTATTTTAGTGACATGTCCAAAATACTTAATTTTTTAACACTGAGAGAAAAATAACTGATTGATTTGTTCATGTAGCAGATACCACTCAGTGGAATTAGGTCTCAACCTAGGTCACATGGATAGCAGCCAAAAGAAGAGAAAAGCCAAAATATTTGGAAGTCTTGAAAGAGGCTTAGATAAAGTGATCACAATGCTTACGCCAAGCAAGAAGAAACGATGCACTAGAAGTTGTCCAAGGAAACGTAAGGTATGGTTGCTGCGAAAGTCTTACAGGAGAACAAGTATTAGGACTAAATTAATTATATATTAATTATTGTATTACAATTATTATTATTATTGAAAACATCCAGTAGCTTCAGAAATGGTCTTGTGAAAGCTTCTGTGACCTGTCTTGCCTGCTTTCTACAGTAGGGTGCTCTTACTGCATTGTTGTTAACAAGACAATGCCCCAGTTTTCACAGTGAGGCATCTTTTAGTCTGGACTCAGGCAAGTCATCAGATCCAGGTAGGAGTTTCATCATTGCTGCTTATAGCCCATCTAAACCAAATGTGAAGGAAGCAGAATGGTTTTAAAAGAGCCCTAGCTGACAGGTTTTCATGTTATTTGTAAAGAAATACTGCTAGCTGTCCCACTGAAAAATGCTAACCTTCCTGGCTTAGGTTTCTGTAGCCCAGAAGCAATATGTCCATTCTAGGGTCATCCTTAGATGTCTAGGGAATCTGAAATTACACTTAGAGCCTAAATAACTACACCTTGTGAGAGAATTTCTGACAGTGTCCCTGTAATTTAGATTGTTTAGATTTCAATGTCACTGCATTCAAGCTGGTTGGCTATTTATCCTTTAGGTAGTCATAGAAAAAGCAGTTCCTCAGGCAGTGTGCTGCACAGAACACTTTAATATTTCATTATTAATTTGTTCTTACTGAAATTACTCATGAGGTTAATATTAGCTGGGTAGAATACACATCACATGGCATTGGCATGATACTGTTGTAGTGAACAGGACAATCATTTGGTGAAGCAGCAGCAGTGGCAAATGAGGTAAGTCCAGGTGTGAGCATCAGATCGAGCTGTACAGGAGCTCATGGATACCCAAGCAGCAGCTCCAAGCCCTGGCAGGACCCAGAAGCCCTTAGCAGGCAACCAGGTGTTGAGGGGCATTTCCAGAAGCAGCGAGGGAGATTTAAAAGCTCCAGGGAGCACAAGTGAACAGGTGGACAAACGATGTGGTGCAGCAAAGGGATGTGGTGCAGCAGTTTGCATGGCAGTTTGCATGGGCAGGGTGTGTGGGGAGGGTGCTGTACTCTGCAAGTAGGTGAAGGTGGCAGAGCACTGGAACAGGCTGCCCTGGGAGGTTGTGGAGTATCCCTTTCTGAAGACATTCCAAACTCACCTGAACGCATTCCTTTGTCACCTGCTCTGGGTGACCCTGCCTTGGCAGGGGTGTTGGATTTACAGAGGTCCCTTCCAAACCTAGCTATTCTGTTATACATCACTCAAATGCAACATATATACTTCAGAAGCTATACAAGGAGGAATTTGTACTTGAATCTGTAGGCAACGTTTGAAAAATGTGATCACCATGAAAGAACGTAGGTTGTGTACCAAGGCATAAACAGTTCTGCAGAAGCCAGTGATGTGTCCCTTCAGTTGACTGGCTGCTGGGACATCTATTGCAGATGTCCGCAAGTTGTTCAAGAGTTCACTTAGTGCATAAGCTCTTATATGAAGTACTAGATGTGATGTATATAAAGTATACTTTACTTATAACAGTAAATTTTTGAGTAGTAAGTTACCTTTTTTCTTTCTACATGAAAAGCGGCATGGTGCTGTGCCTGTTCCTTGATATCGGAAGCACTCAGTCTCAGCTCTAGGCCATCTCCCAACTGTCGGGCACGCAGCAGGGTGATGGTTTGGGGAAGTTGAAGCATTTGTCACGAAGATTAGCTGTTCTGAAACTTTCTTTGTGAAAACATTTTGCAATGTCTTCGGTTTTAGGAGAGATATTTTTATTTTTTTATTCCTCTAATTGTTTTAACAAGCTGACTATTTTAGGCACACTGCAATGTTACCATCACTCACCTACTGAATGCAGACCAACTGTTGAATGAAATAATCACCGCTCTTTCGAAGAAGCATGTGGAATATGTTCAGAAGGGGTAAGTGTAAAATATGATGGCTCAAACTTATATTTGTCTAAATAGATGTTACTCCAATCTTTGATAAAGAGAGTATTTAAACTTACTTTCTCAACACCACTGTAAAATAATCTTATAGAAAATGTACAAAGCACTACATTACTGTGTGCGATAAAACTTGTTGACACAATGCAAAACTATGCTAAGTGAGCTCTAGCAGATCTCTTTGACTAACAGTTATCAACCAATAATAGTGAGATAAAAATTCACATCATCTTGTGTCTCATGTGAAATTTTAAATACAAAAAGTTTGCTTGGGTACAGTCACATGACCAAATGGGACAATTTGGGAAGTAACTTACTAATTTTTTAACCCTCATTCTTGGCAGTTAAAAGACATTAGCCTTTAGCCAAGAGATCAGTATTGTCTAAAAGCTGTGCAGAATCTACACCATTGGTGGATTAACTTGTAGGGTTTACTAGCTAGACTAAGGTACTGATTGGTTAGATTGGTTCTTACTTCTGATCAAACTCAGTGTCTGTTTCCTGAGTACCTAACACATGAAATAAACATTGTGGGCACTTTTCAATATGCATTTTCTCAAGTTCTTGAGTATTTCAGTGATGGGCATTGTAAAACATCAGAGTATACATCAGCCTCTGATGCATTCCCAAGCTCTGAATCTGGAAGGATGTTGGATTGTACAGCAGCACCTTCTCCCATTGTAATGTTTCAAACTGTGCATTCAGATTTTCCTATTTTCACACCAGCTAAGCTGTAACAACCAGAGATAAGAGTGGTCTTGTTTAGGAAAAACATGGGAACTTTCCATCATTCCAGCTCTGAGGATGAGTGTCTGTGGCTAGCAGGGGTTCCTGTGGCTGGGTGGAACATTGGCGCTGAACGCCTGGTCCTTGGTCATAATGATAACAATAGTACTCTGATAATAAAGTATTCATGAAGCTCTCAGTTGACTAAATTGTGGGTTGTTTCCCAATATTCTCAGTAGCAATGGGATATTTTTTGTAAAGTGGTTTTATTAATTTAAAATTGCATTGCAAAACAAACATTAAATGGTTCAATGATTATTCTGTTTTCCTTTTTGTTTTCTACAGTTATACCCTGAAATGTCGAACACGGTCAGATTTTGGTAGAGTAACTATGGAGTTTGAGTTAGAAGTGTGTCAACTCGATAAAACTGAAGCAGTGGGTATTTGGCGACAACGGCTTAAAGGTGACGCCTGGGTCTACAAGAGGCTGATGGAAGACATCTTATCTAGCTGCCAAGTGTGAGTGGCAGAGGCTTTTATCATGATGTTTTGGAAAGGTCTGTTCAGAGAAGTAATTCTTTGTCACAGTCACAGCTATATTTGAAAAATCTGTCATATTTCTTCGGTTTTAACCATCCCTTTTTGTACATATGCCTTCTGTACATTTCCTTTATTAGGTTCATAATAAATGTTCTGCAACTGCAACTTTTCTGAAGCAAAATTCTGTAAGCTGTTCCCTCTCTCATATATTTTTCACATATCTGGGTTAAAAAAGTAGTGGTGTTTATGTGCTGAAGCTTTTTGTGCTATGTCTTCAGTTATCAAGTGCATGTGGCACAGAAATTGTAATTTGCATAATTCTCTTGTCTCTGCTTAAGTAGGATTTATTGAGATCATTAACTAAGTCACAGCTGTGGTTCCCAGAGTTACACTATATGCTCAGTGTTGTACAAAATAGGACTGGCTTCAATAAATGTGAAGTCAAGAGTGCTTGGATTTAAACTGTGATCTCATATAAAGTGTTGCCGTATCTCATTACAAAGCCTCAATGACACTTAATAAGCCTGTGCACTTTCTGATGCTCTCATGTTAACGTGATGATATAAGGATCATTGAAGAACAACAGCACCTTTGAACTGTTGGGAATGGAGAAGGCATTTGTCACCCTGACTGTCTGCAAGGAATCCAGTGACACCTTTAACAGAATTTAAGCACCGGAAATAAAACTTGAAATATGCAGAACAAGAAAGGACACCTAAGAGGTGGCTGGGGGGTTGGGGTAATACCTTTAGAAAATGGTGCGCGTGCTTGTGCTGTCTGTTGTGTGGATTGTTTATTTTTGCCTTTAGCTATGCTTCAGCAGCAACCACATCCGGCTAAACCCAAGCAACAGCAGTGGGAAGACACATGTTAAAGCCTTTCTGTATGCAAAGACATCCAGTAATACCTAGACAAGTTGACAGTGTGCTGCAGCTTTTTCTTAAACTACCTGGAGGCAACTGGCACATGCTGCATGTACAGCCCACGTTATCGCCCCTTAACTAGAGCCTGAGGCACATCCACACAAGGGTTAGGTGGGTGGAGGGCTGAGCATTGCTGAAAACTTGCAGTGACAGACATGTGATACGGCTGGTAATGAAAGCTGTCTGCTTGTTTTCTGTGACCATTACTGCAGGAACTGGAGGAGATGTTTTGTGTCTACCAAGGTAGAAGTGTCCCTCAATGCTTTTTTCCAATGCCAAGTTGTCAGTTTACTGCTTTTTAGGCAAGTAAAGGAACAGGGACATTTTTAGCGGTTTTGAAGAAAAAGTAGGAATACTTGCAAGCAGGGAGAGCAAAGAAAACTGTTGCTCTTCGAAACATTTCTGGTCAAGAACCTTTTAGATGCAGAAGGGACTATAAGGAAAAGAGAGACAACATGAACAATGACGCAAATCCACCTGACAGAGGGTAAGAGAGGTTGTAACGAGAGTCAGGGTTGGTTGGTCATGTTAATTGATAAGGGGTGTGGAACGTGGTCGTGTTCACTTTGGAAAGGTTATCTAACTGAGGACCTTGTCAAATGGCATAATAAGGAAAAAGGGGAAAGTCAGAAATAAAAAATATAGGGATGCAAACCTGACAGGCAGTCCTGCAAGGAGAAGGGAGTCAGACTTGATGATCCTCGTGAGTTCCTTCAGCTTGATGTATTCTGTGATTCCGTTCAGTGACAGAAAGACAATAAATGCTGTCAGTCACAGCGAGTGGAGGGGCTTTGGGAAAACTGCAGCAAACTGGGACTTTGCAGCTAGTGAGACTGGAATCCCAAGGGTGTGGGATGTTGGGGGAGTCAATGGGAAGGTGCTAGCTGATGGGGTGATGCTCAGGGGTCTCAGCCCAGTGCTGGCTGTGGGGCAGAGCGTCTGCACCCCCCCAAGCCATGTTGAATGTGGGTATTCCCCAGCAAATGTGAAGCTGGACCAACAGGTAAGCAGGACGCCCTAGGTCTGGGCAGGGGTGTCAGGTGGGCAAAGACTGCATGCTGGTTTTGAGGGGGACACACAAGCCTGGGGTGTACCGAGGGGCCCATGTGTGACTGCTGCATGCTTTCAGTGAGCGCTGGGCTAGACCAGACAGCAAGGAGGGGACACACATACAGTCAAGGTACAGGCAGTGTTCTGCGGTAATCTTGGCTGTGCTTATGCTAGAGGAGACAATTATACTCTTGACATTCCTTAACTGCTAGTACTGAAGTATAAATGGTGATGCCCACACATAAAGGTTTGTGTTGCCAAAAGCACAGCTAACCTATTGTTCTACTAAATTAGTGCTTAAAGCTTCATATCAGCATTTAAATACTTTTGGTATTCCCAGCTGCAACATGACACTCCTGTTTGGTTTCTGCATGCTGAAATTTGAGTTTGCTAAATACAGTTGTAAATCAGGTGCAAGTGGTGGAGCAGCCAAGGGTTGTAGCTGATGCGTCTCTTGAGTGCTGCAGTGTTGTGTGAGCTCTGTTTTTCCTTGCTTTCTTTTTTTTCAATACAAACTTCTCAAGAATTTGGCTTCTGTCTGGAACTTGATCAGAACTGAAGTAAGGGTAGAAGGGCTGATTGAAGGAGGCATATTGATAACAGTCTCACTAATGAATAGCATGCTATATGTTTTAAATCACCAATCACAACCGTGAAGCCCAAGGGCTGAAGAACTGAAACATTCAATTGCCTTTGCACTCCTTGAGTTTTAAATTCAGGAAAGACTACAGAAGTATGCTGGAACACCCTAACTGCCACTGCTCAGAAGCACATTCTGTGTAACTATCTCCTCCCTGTGGTGACAAAACTGATGTTGGGAATGCACAAATAGTAATTAAGATGTCTTCTTCATTCCTTTTAAGGTAAAAATCACTGATTTAATTCACACTGTCTTACAAGCTGATGTGCAAAATAAGGTGCCTCTTCATAGGCTACCATGTCGACTTTTTTTGCTAATATTCCTTGCTGTGAATGCATGCCATCTGGTGATAGGAATCAGTGAATGTGCAAGAACAAGAATCATCTGTGCTTTTTTTTTTTTTTAAACTAAACTGCTGCTACTTGGTCAGTAATTGTTTTTACTGAGATTGCTGGAAATCTATTTCAGCTGACTTCAGGTGGAACTCGGAGAAAAAAACAAAGATGAATAGATGGAGGAGATATGTGGATAAGAAGAAGCACCAGTTGCGTGCCAAGCTTGTGGAAGTCTGCACAAAGGAACAGAGGGCCTGAAGATTTATTTTCAGGCAGCCAGGTTGTACATCACGTGTATCAGTCTTGAAAGCATGCTTGGTATGTACTAACCTCTCTCCCTTGGCTAGCAACCTCTTTGAGAGTCTAAACTCAGTTTATGTTCGTTATTATGCTGGTTTGGGCTGAGATTGATTTAATTTGTTCCCAGGAGCTGCTACAGTGCCATATTTTGGGTTTAGGATGAGGATAATGTTGAGAACACACAGATGTTTTACCTGTTGCTAGGCAGTGCTTAACCTAAGTCAAGGACTTTCAACTTCTCATGCTCTAAGCAGTCCTGGGGGCACAAGGAGTTGGAAGGGGGCACAGCTGGGATAGCTGACCCCAAATGACCCAGTTGCCACTCCCAGATTCCAAGTACCTTCTGAATTGCAAAAGCCATCCAGGTTCACCTGAAGGCACATTGGTATATTTTGTTTGGTCAGATCTTAGTGTTTAAGTAGACTTGAACAAAGCAACTCAGTTTCTGAAAACCTGTTTTGCTTAGTGAAAACACTAAGCTAAAATCTTAAAACTTAGAGACTAAGCTAATTTTCCCAACATCAGAGATACTGAATAAACCATAGCGACTTCTTCTGCATGTCCTAGAAGTAGGAGGGACAATTGCACATTGGTAAATAAAACTGTTGTATCTTGTGAACAATGTATGCAGCATCATTCACATGGATACTTGACAGGTTAGAAAAATATGTATGGCCGATTTACTTATTTTTGTCAGTCAGCTCTGGTTAAATGATGTAGATTTGGACACCCTGTGAACTGTTCCTTTTGTTTAATATAAGGGCTGCACTTTGTTAGAGAAAATGAAATAATCCACTGTCATTTTTGGTTTTATCATATTAGGGTTTTGGCAGACAATTTGTTCAGTTTCCAGTATTTAGTTATTTATGTGCTACTAACTAGCTTTGCTACATTCCCTAGAGAAAGCTCCATTAAAAGTCTTAATGTGACACTACATATTTTTAGTAGATTAGAAAATAGTTGCAATTTTAATTTAAATTGAAATGACTGTGTAATGGCTGGACAGATCACTCTCAGATCCCTAGAGCTCTTAATTGTAATTCTCCATTGTTTCTGTGCATAAATTTTCTTTTTAAGTGCTCATTCAGAAATACTTAACTAATTTTTTTGAATGTACTGTACTCATTTAATAGTTTTTTTATGGTTAACAACTTCATGATTAAACTTAAATGTTAAATATAAGTGGTGGAAATTATATGCCTAATCAAGTGTTGGGAAAATAAAGTGTGTTTGTATCTTGAGATGACATTAATTTAAGGACCTTCTCTTTGAGGAAGGAAAGAGAAGGGGAAAAATATCCTACTGGGAGTAATGGGCAGATTTCATTGTAGCAAAGGAGCAATAACCATTTCTTTAGCCCTTCCTACTGCCTCCAGTCATCGTGACATTAAAACCACCCTTTACCCAACAACTCCCCAAAAAGAAATCAGGTAGTTTTTCTCTTGCATCACCCACATTCTGATTTGGTTTGAGCTGGGCAGACCAAGGGGCAGCTCCTGCCTCTTGGGGGTCAGCACCTGTCCTAACCCTGACTCCCATGGGAAGCTGTTTGGCCCTGCTTCACACAGGGTTTCCGAAGTCCATCTGAGCCAGATACACCTGCAAAGCTCTGTGCTCACCAGCAGCTCGTGGGGTGTGAGTTAGCTTCAGTGGGCACAGACCTCGAGAGCAGACTATAAGCTTTCTCCATCCTCAGCATTATGTTTTCACCTGGAGCAAGTCTTCCTTCCACATACATGTCCCACACCCTTTAGAGCCTTCTTACCCGTATCACCTTCCTCCTCCTCCTCCTTCTCCCTTTCTTCCAGAAAACTTGTACCTTCTCAGTTTGTGGCAACTTTCAGCTCCTTTGCCTCCCACTCAAAGCCTCCCTCTGGAGGATGCTCGTTACCTCCCACAACCCCTCTGGGTCCTTGGTTGCTTCTCCTGGATTTCAGTTTTCCCAGGCTCCCCTTCCTGCCAGCTTGAGTCCTGTGATTGCCACTTTTCCTGAAGACAATATAAACAAAGCAAGTTAAGGACCATCCCTTCTAGTGAAAAATTCTCCCTTTTATCTGCTGGCAAAAGGAGAAATTACTGTCTCAGACAGACTGTTTGCTGCAACAGCAAGATGAAGATGAACCTTCACAAGACATCACAATCCCAAGAAGGAAGTATGAGTCATAAGAAACTCTGTAAAGCAAATCAAGATATCCTACAGGAGACAATTTCCATGTCACACTGCTGATGCCAGGCAGTATTCATAGAATCACAGAAGTATTAGGGCTGGAAGGGACCTTTAAAGGCCATCTAGTCCAACCCCCATGCAGTAAGCAGGGACATCTGCAACTGCTTTATTTTGTGATATGTGCCACCATGTTCATAAAACCACATATGAAAGCTTGTCTATCCCACATTAGGATGCAGCTTACATACATGTGGGAGATGAGATGCTCATTTGTCTTGGTTTAAAGACAGTGTATGCCAGAAGGTGGGACCTCAGATGGAATAGAAACCCCTCCCTCCAAATTACTGTAAATTTGAAATTATGAGACTTCTGAGAAAAGTATAGAAACGAATAATAGTTTTTACTGAAAACGAAGAACAAAACAGAACAAAACAAACAAAAGCAGCAAAACACAGTGACCACAGGAATATAGAGAGAAAACGGTCTGCCTCTCCACCCGCTCCCGTGAAGAGACTGGAGACCAGTCAGCTGCATGGCTCTCCCCTGCCCTCGACA